ATTCAGGACATGGCCAATGTTTGGGTGACCCTGTTTAATGTGTTGGGCCCGAAAAGTACGGGACCGAATCCAGACCATCCCTCTTTTAAAATAATCTCCAAGGCCTCCCGGGGCCCTCAGTACCGTGGGACCCTTATTCAGGACGTCTAAGTTCCATCTTTCGGAGGGCCCTAAGATTAAACAAGGTGCAGCATTATTGGGTTCCGGGTTGTGGTCTCTACGGTGCTTGAAGAGCCCTTGATACCTTACACCTCTTAAAGCATCCCCGAAGCTGCGTGCTTCTCCGGGAAGGCGCTTTCATGATGGTGCGACATTTCCCTTCATCCCGCACTTTCATCAAACGTAGACTCTAAGATCATAGAGGGAAAGCTTCAAGGGTGAATGATGGTGCTTGAAACGTTGCCTCGTAATTCTTACTTGCAGTGGCTTGCTAAGAGGATTCCAACTTGGAGTCTCAAGAACAACCGTCATGCCTATGGCGTTGACGATTGGAGGTTTAAGGTTTTAAGCTTCCAGAAGGGGCCTGAAGCTTGTGCCTCCAGAAAAGGAAATTCTTAGAGCTTCTGGCGTGTTGCGTCATCCAAGCTCGCTGGATCCTAGGATGTGTTTTAAGGCTACACTACGAGAAGGGTTTGAACTTCAACTCGCATGGCAGGCCTAACTTTTTTCAGGCAGGTTTGGCAGCCTTCGTGAAGGAACACACCCCAAGCATGGGGCACTCCAGCAAAATTGCGCTCATGGCATGTCCCCTGTCATCAACTCTACGAGAGCATGCAGCCAGGGGCTCACACAGCATGGTAAACACCAGGGCAGTTCCCCAAATGGAAGGAAGGAAGGAGCAAAGGGATTGCCACCAAAGCAATTAGGCAGCACAAGGGAATTCACTGCGCTGAGTCATGCGCTCGACGTCCGTCCCATGGTGTCGATCGGGATGCATCCTTGGATCAAAGCTGCAAAGTCTGTCTTCCTCCACATCGCGCATGTACGCGCGTGTAATGCTTCTTGATTCTTGAGTTCCCGATTTGCTCTTTACAAGGGAGGTGCTGCGGTCTCTGCGTTGCGATGTTCTCCAGAGAGCAGTTCCTCTCTGTGACCGCAGTGCCGCACTGACACTGGCAACACAAAAGCACGTGGAGTTAGTGAAGTTGAGATCGATAATTTTGCCTAGTCTTGTAGGATCGTGTGGTTGACACTGCTTGATGAGCCTTAGACTTGGCAACGCCCTTGGCTTCCCCACAAACTCATTCCAAGCAACATCCACCCATTAGGAGTGAACCTCCTCGTAAGTTTGGCATATATGCCGAAATTCAAAACAGCAATCCCAGCTGTATACCACTCAATTAGATCCCTCGTGAAGGTGAGCTAGTTTTGAAACAGCCCCACTATAAAACTAAAACCATACAACTACATAAACATCATCAAACAACAACTTGAAGAAAGCAGACCGACATGCATCTGAGCATCTGCTTGGCCAGCTGGAAATAAGCCTTTTGAACGAGAGCTATGTGGGGGCGGCAAGGACTGCAGGTGCTTTTGCGCTATGCGTGTTTGATGTGGAATTCAACAAAGGGGTCCATATGCAGGATCTAACAGGTAGGTCGCTTCCCGTGTCAAGTTAGGTCTGAGAGGTGGGGTCGGACCATAGCGCTGCAAATGCATGGCGATGAAAGCGTATGGGCAAGGAATGCCTCGCCCTAAAAGCGAAGATGAGAAGGCGCCACCCTAATTGAAAAACTGCAGCAAGAACACCGGAAGAGGCGCTGAAGCGCTGTTTTTGCGATAGTTATTCGTACGCTTGTTGCATGCCTTCGCATCATGAGAATTATTACTTGCTGCCATTCGTCTGGTGACTGAGCCTTTTCCAAGCAACTTCCCGCGGTTGCCGTTCTCACCTGTAGATGTGCTTAGTCGATACGACGTTTCTTGTCTTAGCTTTACTAATTTCACGACAAATACTCTGCAACGACAAATCCTCTTTTAGGGTTCTGGTGATGCTGCCGTGGTCAGCATTGAAGGCGCTAGTACATTTCACATTACCGGATGTCTAATCCTGTTTGACGCCTTTTAGGTGCTGGCCTGCGGAGGTTGACGGTGGCCAGCTGGCCGGATGTTTTGGGATCCCTCGCTACCGAAAAAAAAAGCAACGAAGAGTCGTAAAAGCCATATCTAGAAGATTACAGCTACGCTAGGAGAAGCCTGAACATTCTGTTGAGGCCTATATACATTATGTGTATACATATATATATGTATATGTATGTATATGCACATTCTCACCGGACTAACTTTTCCGAGGGTGCTTCAGCTTAGGCTGCCGGCTTACCTTCTTGATCTGAACTTGGCGCGCATCTCTCTCCACGCCAAGCACCTCAGATTCTTGTGGGACCAATTGAAAGGCCAGAAAGCTCCTTTGGGTGGGCATCACTGGGGACAACCATGAGAAGCAAATCGGCACATGGCTGGCTGGCAACACCAGACGAGGTCAGAGAAAGCGCACCAACACAAGGACATTTCATGCAAAACCGACAATTCGCTACACCCAAACCCTACAATGGCCACGGTGTCTAAAGTTGACTGATGCTTCGTTGCACAAGAAGCAGCAGAGGGCCCCTGCTAGAAACACTCAACGGACAGCTGCTCATTCCGACAGGCGTTGGATACTGAAGTCCTGGTGATGGTGATGATTATGATGGTGATGACGATGTTGATATAATGTGCACCGCTTACGTTTTCTGTAAAACGTCTACATGAACTACGGATAAACATATGAAGCAAAGTTGACTGACACAACATGCAAGGTGGCCCTCTATCCTTTTTCAGGCTTCGTTCGTTGCTGTCAGCCTTTCGTTTTGGGGTGGTCCTTGTCATTTCACATTTTACTTGCTCCATACCCCAAAGGCAACACATGATACTCTAGATTAGATCTACGAGATGGACACGTTTGTCGATATGATGAACATCATCCGAAAATATAGGTCACCATCTCCACGAGCACAAGAAAATCCTCAAGGGCTGATGGCTCGTGGAAGGAGACTGGACGCTCCGAGGCGCTGTGTAGTAGTCGGGGAGGCTCATGGCGAGCACGAGAGGCTTGGAAGAAGCCAACTCTAACAGGTACTACTACTTGGAAACTGGTTAGTTGAAAGGCTTCTAGGGGGGAGCATGCTATTCCAGAAGGGCAGGCGGTATGAAGTAGCCATCTCAATTCGTGGTAGCTGGGTGTGAGGGATGTTGCGGGCGGGGCTTCCAGCTACACGTCATATAGGCATGGACAAAGGGTATCTTTCTGCTACTCAGAGCACCGTGAGATGCTGGGAACTGCAGGGATTCATGGCTTGTCCCAGTGACCTACAAATAGCTGCATCTGTGCGGAGAATGTTGAAGCTCGAAAGGCGTGAGTCTTGCGTAATGCTAAGCCTTAGTTATGCTTATGGAAGTCTCTAAGGTTCAGCAGTTCATTGAGCCAGTCACGTATGTTTTTGCCGTTCTGCATGTCTAGTGTACACTCTGAAGTCAGGATCTACGTAGCTGCAACCCCCTGGTTATCAGCTAAGAAGTAGATGTCTGCAAGCGGGCACAGGGAAACTGTCTTGCAAACTTTTAGGAGGCAACTGCTCATGCTTCACAAGTTCGTAGGATGGCAATAACGGAATTCAGCTTATCATAGCTTGTGTTCAAGGATAATGGTAGAAGCAGTCACTAGTTGTACTACTGGTGGCAAAAATTGGAATGATTAATCGCACGGCTTCGATTGTCGATGGTATTGCGAACTCGGTCAATCAATGTGAAAATTCTGGAATGTAGGGCGGTACTGCGATTCTTGAAGGGATGCTTGGAACCGTGCCAAGCGCTCACGATCGATCGTTTGGCAGGCCCTTCCAGGACGCGCCCTGCTGCTTGCGGTGGATCCTGATTTGGAGAATTACACAAAGCTTGAAAACAGCGGCATCTTTTCTGCCATCTGCAGAACGCACGTCCTCGTCGCCTTAGGGAAGCTTCTCAAAACTAGAACCGTGATTTTGAGAAATTCCCATAGGACACACTGGAAACGCCTTGCATACCAAGTTGGGGCATGTGGGGCCTGGTCCAGGTTGCGCAAGTCCCGTTAAAAGACCTCGGCCACTGAAAAGCCCTTGGGCTCAACGGTGAGACGGTAATTGGAGTGGCACGAGTGCAGAGCTTGCCAGATCAGAAAGACATAGGCGCAGCGCAGCTGGGCCAGTTCTTGGCAGAAAGTAGCCTGCTTTTATTAACCTCTGAGGGCAGTTTTAAGGAGATCCTTCGCCAGCTCGTTACACGTCCATCCCCTTCTTGCACTGCTCCTTCAAAACCTGGAGCGTTAGGCAAGTTCTTCAACAGGTTGGTAGCATACCAGGCTTACACGTTCCAAGCCTCTTCTAGTTGATCTATCTGAGTCTTAGCTGAGTTCTGAGTTCGACGCTCCAGTCCCCTCTGTACAACGGGTAAGGACATCTGGACACCTCACTAACATGCTGGAGTGGAAGATTGGATGGGAGGCGGCGCAATTGCGTGATTCCGTCTGTCGGTGTTTCGACCCAAAACATCACCAGCCCCAAGCCAAACGGGGATTCCCCAACACCTAAAAGGCTTGGTTGTTGATGCCCGAATCCATGGTCAACAAAAATGATGCCTCTCCCCATTCATGCCGCAAACCGCACACGCTTTGGTGAGCTCTCATGCGGCCTCAGACTGCGCCAAGGAACAGCGCACAAACTAAAAACAAAAACCATTTGCGCATTTACCCCGTTAAGCAAATGCTCGGCATTGCAGCATACTTAAGATTCATCCAGGCAGTGCAACCTGCGCTTAGGTAGTACAGCACCTTCGCTACATGAGGCTTAACGACCTATCATCAACTCCATTGAATGAGGGCCGCACATCGCTATGGGCGCCTAAATTGTCGGCGCCACACGCT